ATCAGCTAAATTGAGGCTGTGTAGCTGAGGAGTGCTGGGTTGGGTGTTCCGGTGGTCAAAGCTTCGAGCAGGCAGTGGAGTGAGGATGGCATTATGGCTCAGCCCTGCAAGAACAGGGTTCAGCGCTGGTGGTGGAAGGTCCTGGTCCTCTGCAGCAGACTGGAGTTTCTTCCCTCCACCACCATCAACCTCCTGGGCCTTGGCCAAACGCTTCCTGCTCTCTGCCTCCTGCTTGGCTGCAGCCTCTTCTGCTCTGGCTTCTGCCGCTCTGGCCTCAGCCAGTTCTGCCCCCCAGCGCACACTACGTTTCTCGAGAGAAAAGTCATACTGTGGAAAAGAAGAATGATAGGTGTTAAGGGGTGAACAGGACACAAAGTAAAAGAGAAAATATTTACTGTATTAAATTGAGAATAACAGTAACACAAATGATTTCCTCGCATCTCATCTTCAACTACCAAAAATGATGTGCAGAGCTGCATTTATGCCACAGCTAACATCTGTGGGAAAAAACCCACCTTTGTGTCCGCCAATGCAGAGCCAAAGTCTGGCAAAGAGAAACCAACAGGCAGACCCACTTTGGCTGGACAACGGAATTTATCATTTATTTTGAAGGGAACATCATCAAGATAGCTGATGGGTCCTGTGCACATTAAAAAACAAGGAGAAAGTAAGTATACTTTACAGAAAGCACACTGCAGATAAAGGCACCAACAGAGCTAACAGTAAGACAACAAAGTACTAAAAATAAGTCCTTGCCATTGTTGTATGCATCTGAGCCAGACTTCCTTGCAGCCATTTAGAGTCTGAAAACAGAAATAAGCATGCTGGTTAGTGGTCAGTGAGAGTACCGTGATTTTCTTTTAAAATTTAGTGATAAAAGAGAGCAAAGGGTTATAAGCTATAGGCTACCATATTTTAAAATGTTGTGCCACTATGAAACCAGCACAAAGTAGACTTCCACAGCCTTTCTTCCACCAGTTTGCCAACATATGTAATATTTTGTCTAATATGGGATATTTGCACTAAAGTATGTTGTTTTGAGAAATGCCAATTTGACATGTCTAATTAAAGCACAAGAGAAATAACATGCCTTCATACTGTAGTGCAATTCCTTTTAGATTGGAAATAGCTTTATTTGCCTTTGTGCATTATGTTGCCCAGTATCTTCAAGTTATATAATCCTGTTATTTGGTAATGCTGTGCAACAAAGCCTGACATTATGAACACAGACGTTACTGTTTTCAAATCTGCGAAACAGAGAACTTTGATCTGTGAGCTGGTGTGCAGACCAACTTCCAGCAGAAAATATTTTGAAGCCGATTTAATTAACTTTGAAGTGCTCTGTGTTTTTAAAAGAAAGAGCATTTCAGATTTCCTCAGGCTAAAGTGGACACAAACACTGTATCACCTGGTTTACTGACACACTAGGATAATTTACCTGGCACTTCCTGAATAAATGAAAATGAACACCCAAGTCTACAGATGTTTACATGTTTTAGTTCCGTGTCACTTCCAAACAACTGAGACAAATCAATCATGATCACAAGACATCTCGTGATTGGGGGGTATCTATTTTATCAGATGTCTTAAGTACGAAGACGTTAGCTTAGTAGCGCCACAATAATTGGTAGGGTGTAGTAGTTGGTGATAACGTTATATAACAAAACACCGAGTCAATTGGTCCTCTATCTACTTTCACAAATGATCTTATAACGATTTCCTTCTGGCTCTGGTATAATGTTTCTGCTTCAAACCACGATTAGTTAAAACATATTAGATATTATAAATCACACGATTATAGTCATTTATAATATCGCAGACAGCGGTGGCTGACTCATGAAGGTAAATAAGTTTGAGTAACTTAACTGCGAAGCTAAAACGAGAACGAAAGCACCGCGATAATAGTCGAAAACACATTTTCAGACAGCGATGAGTTAAACCAGACTACTGCAATAGTCCCATCTTACACGTATGTGTCATAAAATATTCCCCCAAGTACGATATATTCGTAAGCTAGTGGCACTAAAGTTATGATAGCCTTAGCTTCAAGCTAAGCCAGTCTACACTCTTAGGGTACTTCCAGCTCAACGCACTAACAGTTTCACAGTGACGGTGATAGTTAAACAAGCCAGCGTCGGATATAGCAGTAGTTTACTCGACATTTTAGGACTCTAAAAGCCAAATTATTTAACTCGCTGACAGTCACCAGTAGATAGTGGCTAACTATCTTGGTGGAATGTCGTTAAACCTTTTTTCGGCGGCTCCCTTATTTACACGGGGTCGCCACGACGGAAGATCCGCATATTTTGATTTGGCAGACACTAGATGCCCTTTCTGACGCATCCCAAAAGGGATGCATGTCTCCACCTCGACTCGAAGCATATAACCGTCGGACGTTAGGCGAATATGTAAACCACTATTCATGCTAATAAGCTTAGCTTCGCCAGTGGCCTGTTTGTTATGTGGCTGGACAGGACAGGCTGCTGCCACCGCCCCTGACATTAAACCGAGCTCATAGAAAAGAACATGCCGCTCTCACCAGTATCTGCTCCGTCTTGTTCTTTCAAAATCCAAACGACGCTTTATAGCGCTGCCACTCCAATTTAAGCTAATCTCCGATTCGGTTTTATTTATACTGAAACCTCTTTCCTGCTTCAGCGTAGGTCGCCATCTTGATTTGTCAACCTCCCCTCCACTGGTTCCTGTCTGACGTCACTCGGATGCACGGCACAACGGCAGGCACGCGAACACAAAATCTGTTGATTTAAACTACACAAAATGAGTATTTTAATAAACAGTCACAGCCAGGTTATAGAATAGCAATGTTGAGTGGTTGCTATATTATCGCAATGCTTATTTGACGTATGGCTATGGAAAGATTAAATATCAATTTAAGTCAGGGCTGGACTGGGACAAAAAATCGGCCCGGGCATTTTGACTAGAGACCGGCCCACCAGGTATTATAGGAAAAGCCATAAAGCCTTTGAATTAAAACAAAGGCTGTCGTGACAGTGATGTACATTGTCTTGTGTATGTAGAGGTGGCCCCATGATCGGAAGGTCGGGGGTTCGATTCCCCTGAACAGCTACCCTGAGGTACCCCTGAGCAAGGTACCATCCCTACACACTGCTCCCTGGGCGCCCAATGGCTGCCCACTGCTTCACTGAATGGGTTAAATGCAGAGAGGAATTTCTCCACAGGGATCAATAAAATACATTTTCTTTCTATTAAAAGCTAGACATTTTAAATGAGAATAAGAAAGAAAAGTATTTCTTTGTGCCCCCTTTCCCTGTTACTGCCCTACCTGGCCCCCTGGCAAAACTTTGCTAGACCCGCTCCTGCACAGTTACCAGCTGTAAGCTATGTAGAAAAGGATCCTGGTGTTATTTGTCTCTCAGAAACAGTTCATAACTTCCCTTCAACTCATTCATGTCACCTAAAAGGTAAACCTGTTTCTCCATCACCTGTTCAGCAATGAAGATTCAGTAAGGACATCTCCTGGTTTCATCTTCATGTTTCCCTCTCACCACATATCCAAACCAATATCAGGACCAGCAGCTTTACAGCTGTGGCACCACCAAGCATCAGCTGACACTAGAAATTAATATTAAATAAATTCTAACAACAGCTGATCAAGCTTAAACGTGCTGCTGTTGTTTAGCGCGAGATCCGCTGGTTTCTTCTTATTGGCACAAAGTGGGAGATAAACAAACAAGAGAGGAAAGCCGATCAGCTGATCATTGATCAGTTTCATGATTGAAGTAGCAACAGGAGAGGGAGGGGAGAGAATGAGAGAAGAAGAGGCAGCTGTGCAGCGTAACGACAGAATAACTCCAGCTTTGTGTCTTTTTCCATTCTAGCTGAAGTACAGGACAAACTGCGTTCCTTTTCAGCTCAATAAGAAATGCCTAATATTTTCTCTCAATACGGGACATTCCGTTTATTACAGGACGGTTGGCAACTCTACTAACTAACCTTATGAATAAAATAAAGTTCACTATCAGTAACATCATAGCACCCACCCAGCTTTTTATTATTTTTCCTACCGATGAAGACCTCCACCATGGTCATTCCTACTATGCCAATGAAAATCAAGTAATAGATAAGCTTTTAAAAGATATTAGATGTTTTTTCCAATATCATCTAATATAGAAATATCCTTTTTTTTTAAAATAATATAATTTTACTTTTGTTATTATTATTATTATTAGTAGTAGTAGTAGTAGTATTTGCAGTGGGTCCATTATAAAAAAGAAAAAAGAATTAAAACACAGTCTGAACAATGAGCTACCAGAACTTATTCTGTAATTTTACACATTTATGTCTTACAATTTAAGTCCAAAGTGTTGTGCTGACTGGTTTTGTTTGCTACAGCAGCACTATTTTTATCATGTACAAAATTGAGATATACTGTTCAAACTGCACTTCTTTTCTTATATTGATATATTCCAGATATTAAATGTACAATTAAACCTGTTTGCACTGACTGAAAGGGGGATTTCACTGCTCCTTCTCACTTGAGATCAAAGTAGGAGTCATATGGCCCACAATGTACAGTAAGTGACATCTGTGTTGTAGATGCTCTGAGAATTGCCAGTGAAGGAAATTGATTGAAAAAAAAAAAACACTAATTGTGATCTCGTCAATATATACACCCCAACTAACCAAATACTTTATATGACATTCTTATAAGTAATAATATATGGGGATATAGTTAAGGACAGGAAGTAGACGTAGGTTTAATGAAAATTACAATAATGTCAATAATGTCTGAGATCTAATATTAATGCCCGTATGTATGTATGTGTGAGGACTTCACGCTGCAGATATTTAGTATTAAGAAAGAGAGCGAGGGAACTTAGACAAATAATGTAACCAACTTACATAAAAATAATAACATATTATTAAAATATGTTTTACAAATATGTATTTTTGGAATCTAAAACATAAAAATGTCACGCGAACGAACATGTAAAATAACATCGAGTGCGCGCACGTCACGTTCAGATACGCGCTTTACGTTCTGCAGACACGCGCAATGATAGCCGGAAGCATAGATGGGAGGAAAATAAAAATCGATTAAATCCACTGTAATTCGCGAGTATAAACCTCTCACTTACTGTCCTTTTAGCGACCGCGGGCTCGAAATTTTCAGTCTTTTACACTGTAACTGTGCCGGAGAGACGACAAAGAGCAGAAAATCTGCTCTATTTGAACGAAGTTGCTCGGTAGGGGTTTAGCTGACGTGTGGAGAAGTTGAGACTGCCAGTGAGCAGATAAACAAACATAAACAAGCAGAGATCAGCTGGGCGCCTGTCCGAACCGAACCAGCAGCACGGAGAGATGGCAGGGAGAGCCAGAGTCCTGTTTTAAAGCCAAGAATGATCCGCAGGAGACCGTGACTTACACTGATATTTGCTCCATGTCAACTGTCAACACTGGCACACAAAGAATTTCGGAAACACAACACGAGGAGCAGCCATAGGCTTTAGCAGGGGAAAAAAGCCACTGCTATTGTCACTGTCTCTTTGTCAAGGCACAGCCAGGTTAGCATGGACAGCCAATGAGTTTATCCTGCAGGGCTCAGCTGTAAGGAAGCGAACACAGTGCAAGGAGACAGAGGTAAACACTTTCTGTTAACTTTGCTTTTTCCCCCCACTATAATGGGCCTGCGAGCCAAACCACTGACATAATCAGGCTTTGCAGGCCACAAATCCTGAATGTTTATGAGCTGTTTTTGTGTGTGCGTGTTTTTTTTTTGTTTTTGTTTTTACATGTAGGGTTTAATTTCACAGCGTTTTGCTTTTCCTATCGTTTTTGTTAGAAAGACTCCTGTTAATGAAAGCAAAGCTAAGACACTGCAGCTGTTTTCTGAGTCAAACTGGTCATGATATTAAAAATGCATGAAAAGTGAGTAGAGTCTTGACAGTGTCATTAAACTCGTAATATTTCTGTCCACTCCACAATTCCTGCTTCCTCTCACTGATCTGTGCGGCTAACTGTTGTCAAGAAGTGTGGAAAAGAACATGGCCCACCAGTCAACCCCTAGTTCCCAGAAGGCCCTCATGATGGAGCTGAAGTCTCTGCAGGAGCAGCCAGTGGAAGGCTTCCGCATCACTCTGGTGGAGGAGTCTGACCTCTACAACTGGGAAGTGGCCATTTTTGGTCCCCCGAATACCCTGTATGAGGGAGGCTACTTCAAGGTGGGACAATCACTTCCAGTGCACATATTATGTGAAGTCATGCTTACTTAAAGAGTTCATATGAAGCTATTCATTAGCGAACAAACACATACAATAAATATGTTTAGGGACCAAATATATTATCGGCTAGAATTTCTTTGTAATATAATATATGTCAGGGCATGCTACAATTCTTAACACAGCTTTGTAGTTTAGCCTCCTTCTAAAATCTGTACAAACTCAAACTTTCAAACTAGATCTTTTTCACTTCTTGAAGCTGTAATTGAAACGTGGTTTTCCTCTAATGGACGAGGAATTTTTAGGCTTTATATTATATTTTATTCATTTTCAGTCGTTCTGTCCTGTCCTGTCCTTCTCCTCGGCCAGCCCTCACCCAGCCCTCACCCACCTCACTGTAAGATGGTTGTGCTTGCTATTTTTAGCTACGAGACTGATATAAATGGCACCTGAGTACAGAGAGAGAAGGGACATGATTAGATTCATTATATTTTTTTCTTTGAATATGTTGCATATTCGGTGAAACATTTAGAACATGTAGCATAAAGAGCACCTGCTTTCAGCTTGGTGCTACGCAGATGATGCTGTAGCCTAGTGGGAATGGAAGGATAAGACAGAGCAGGTATTGCTGTAGTATACTCTTTTAACTGGCATGTCTTTAGCCACAAAAATTTGAGGAACATCAGCACTAACAAATGTCAGGATTAGATGCCACAAGTAAGAGTGAACTCTGGGCTGGTTTTTCAGTCTATGTAATAGCTAGCAAACAGGAAATGTGGACTTCCCTTTTTTTTAAGGGACATGTATACTACTCGTTTGTTGAATACTTTGGCAGCCAGTGCCTAATGACATTAATAAATTACTTGTTTAGTCTTGTAAATGCCCGACTGGTGGGTGGTGCAGCTGACCTTCATTTAATGAAAAACTGGTGAAAGTGAATTGTAGTACGATTCAGGTGTTTCAGTGTAACTTTGTTTTTACTGCGTGGTTCCTGCAGCCTACACCATACACAATCATGCTTTTGTACAGGGATGAGATATTTTGGGATATCTTCAGTGTCCCCTGTAATTATACTGAGAGTAAAGTGAAAGGTGTTTGGATTTAAAGTCAAGCAACAGCTTTCAATCATTCCCCAGAATTCTCTGTGTTGTGTTGATTGCCCTCACTTTAAGGTATACAAAAGTAATTTTAGGATAGACTATGTGATGCAGACAGAAAAATAAATAAAACCCAGAAATCCAGACGAGCTCAAAGTGATAAAAAGAGAAAGATGCCCATGAAGGCAACTACATGTTAGACTTTACTGTTACTTTGACACCAATCTGTTAACTTGTGTTTGCACATTTAAAAAGAAATGTTGCTTCAGCGACTGATACTAAGCAGTGGAACTCATGCCAGTGTGTCATGACGTCTACGTGTTTAATGTCACACAGTTGCAGTAATTTAGTAACTAGCTGTGGAGTAATGATAGTCCTATCAGACAGGCAAGCAGTTCAGCGAGAGTTAGGGCGGAGCTACACACACCCAAGCCTGCCATCCTTTTTCTCTGATAATACTTTGGAAAGAAAGAGCCAGAAGCACCTGATGTTGTGTCACAGTGAAATTAATTAGGAACTGATGACAATATAGGGTGATTCACAGTCTAATTGTTGGTACGGCTGGATGTGTAACTATTTCTCTGATGTGATGTGGTTTAAAATATGACGGTAAAGGAAGCAACTTTGTGGCTGACTGAAACCCCGTGTCCAAAAAGAAGTTAGGATGCTCTTTAAAATGTAAATAAAAACAGGAACTTAAAGGGTTTCAGCTGCTAAACTTTGTATATTTTTTTCATAATGCCCCAAATGCCAGTTTAACACCCTTCTAAAAGTTACAACAACATAACTTTGGCGTTTGACCTGCTTAAATAAGCAAGACCATTCATATGTATTGCTCCAATACGCATAGAATATCAATATTTTACATGTTTTCACAAGAGTCCGGTAGCACCTGAGTACAATAGTACTGCTTTCATAGGAATTAATAGCAGTCAGGTGCTACTGATGAAATGCTTTTTATTAACTGATCATCGGAAAGTGTGGCCATCTCTATAAAAGCAAGATTTCTTTGCAGTTTGCAGATCAGCCCAGCAAATTCACCCCAGGTCAGACTGTGTAATGCTCAAACATGAAACCCAAGAACTACATCTCAGATTCTACAGACTTCGGTTAACATGTTAAATGTTAATGTTCATGACAGCACAATTAGAATAATACTGAACAAGTATGTCTTTTTTTGGAAGGGTCGTCAGGCGAAAGCCTCTTCTTTCTAAAAAGAAATTGGAAGTTTGGAAAGCTGCATCATAGGTCAATGTCCTCTGAATATTTTATTTATTAACCTTTATTTAACCAGGAAGATCCCATTGAGATTAAAAACCTCTTTTTCAAGGGAGACCTGGCCAAGATAGGCAGCAGCAGATGTCTCACAGTTACAGAAATTACTCAAACACAGGCAGCAACAACACACATGCAACAATAAGTGAAAGAATACAAATAAAATAAAAAATAAAATTCAAATAAAAATAAAAAAGTCAGTTAATAGATGAGACCAAGTTGACACGTGTGGCCATAATGAACAGCACCATGTCTGCAGAAAGGCAGACATGTGATACCAACTGTAAAGAACGGTGGTGGAGTAGTGGTGATTTGAGCTGGCTTTACAGCCACTGAACCTGAACAGCTGGGCACCTTGCAGACATGGAGTTGGCTGTGAGCTTCTCTGTATACAAACATGTTCTAGAGTTAAATGTGAGGCCTTCTGCCTGACAATGGGACAGTGATCCCAAGCACAGCAACAAATCTGTACCACAATGGATGAAAAAGAAAAGGATCGAGGTGTTGCGATGCCGTCGCAAATGAACTTAGGCAACGATGCAAAGAGTGGGCCATAATTTTTTAAACATATTTTTTTATTTACTTTATATGTGTGTATGAATTGTCCCCATAGCAACTTAAATCTACTGTCAACATCTACTTAATGTAGCTTTTTGATTCCTTTGTCCTACTTTTTGGTGAACATTGATAATTATAATTTATTATTGCACAAATAAAAATACACACATGTGCAGTTTAATTGGATAGTGGGGTTTTTTTCACATTCCAGATGCTTTCTCCTTGAAGTTAAGACCCCAGTAATCTTAAATGGCTGAAGCTTAGTTACAAGTAACTGAAGTCAGACTTCTGTTTGTTCTTTCAGGCTCACATCAAGTTCCCAGTTGACTACCCATACTCCCCACCAACCTTTCGCTTCCTCACCAAGATGTGGCACCCCAACATCTATGAGGTTTGTCCTGAAGGATCTTAATGCTTTCGTGTTTGCAGTTTGGCATTTATTTCCTTTTTTAAATGGATTTGTTTAAAGACGCTGCCGCGTTTGTGTTTTCCTGACAAATGTTCCTTTATGTCGTTTGGTCTTCAGAATGGAGATGTGTGCATCTCGATCTTACACCCCCCTGTTGACGATCCTCAGAGTGGGGAGCTGCCCTCTGAAAGGTGGAACCCCACCCAGAATGTCAGGTAATTTCTCAGCAAACCTTCTGGTCCAAGTTCACCTTCACTAATTTTACACCTTTAGGCCTGTTGATAAGTCTTGGGGGTGTCTTGCATGTACAAGCATGAAAAGAATTGTTTAGAGCATACTGTAACACCGGTGGGAGCTGTGTGAAGCCTGACATACTACCTCAAGTGATGTCAGTTTACAGTTGTTTTAATACTGCATGTTTGAACATGAAGAATTCAGCGGCGGGGACAAGTTAGACAGGCATGAACCCACTAGACCCCTCCTGATTTCTGCCAAAAACTAGCAGATCGAGTCTAAAAATGCTGCTGCTAGGAACAGCTAGCTGTGGTTCAGTTTCCTTTTGGCTAAATTAGACATTTTTTGTGGCACAAAAATTGGATCTAGGTCTTATTTAATTTTCATAAATGAAATTAAGAATTGGATATAATTATCTTCTACCATTTCTTTGTTCTGTATTCTATCTGTAGCGGTAGACACCACTGTAGGGTAGGTTTCTGAATTTCTTCTAAATTTAGCATATCAGCAAGAAACACAGAGTTGCATTAAAGTGCCGAGTCTGTGTTTGAAAACTTGAGCAGATTGGGTGTAGAATGTAATTGAGCCACGAGGGGAAAGAGGTGAGGTAACACCTCTCTCCGAGCTGGGATACAGCTTCTGAGGTTTCAAAAAGCTCGTGTAGAGGTTTTCTTTCATATGACGACGACATCTGATATTACAGTGTCCTCATTTCGACTCTGTGTGTGTGTGTGTGTGTGTGTGTGTGTGTGTGTGGGTGTGTGGGTGTGTGGGTGGGTGCGTGTGTGTGTGTACGTGCTGATAATCAGGACCATCCTGCTTAGTGTGATCTCTCTGCTCAACGAGCCAAACACCTTCTCCCCAGCCAATGTGGATGCCTCAGTTATGTTTCGCAAATGGAGGGACAGCAAAGGCAAGGACAAGGAGTATGCAGAGATTATCAGGTACAAATGAACACACTCTTACCAGTGTGTGTAGTTACTTTGAAGAAATGTGTTTTATGCAACATGGAGAAAAAATAAAATACACCTCCTCCACGTTTGCTCACAGGAAGCAAGTAATGTCAACAGCAGCAGAGGCGGAGCGCGACGGCGTCAAAGTGCCCACCACGCTGGCCGAGTACTGCATCCAGACCCGGGTTCCTTCTCAGGACCGCAGTTCAGACCTTCTCTATGACGACCTCTACGACGACGACATGGAAGAGGAGGATGAGGACGAGGACGAGAGCGAGATGGAGTCTGTAGGTGAAGCCGGGGGAATCGGCGCCGTGGAGGACTGCGGGACGTCCACCAGATGTTACGACAACCAGGACGACTCTGGCAACGAAGACTCGTGATGATCTGGATGATAACTTCTTCCTGCCAACTCCACCACCCTTCTTCTTTTTTCTGTGTGTGTATGTGTGTGTATGTGTGCACATGTATATTTGCACATACAATGGGGTCAAAAGTCTACTGCCAAAAAAAAAAAAAATCTTTCATCATTTATTAAACTAATACAAGCGTTGGGTCAAATGCAATTCCTTTGATGCTGTTACATAACTTTTCAGCAAAACGTTGTAGGTAGTGTTCTCGCTGAAAGCAGAATTTGACGTTTCCACCGTTTGCCTTAATTACAGCTCGCACTCTGTGTGGCAACAAGCGTTTTATTACTCTAGCACTGTTTGAGAGTGTCCTGAAGGTGTTTATTGATTTGAAAACATGTTTCACATTTTTAAAATGTGCCATGGAAGAGTTTGAGGGTCTGGCCTTTTCCTCATTACCATAAACCACAAAGATGGCGTGCTTCTGCAGACTTGAACATTAGAGTTTTTCTTTATTGTTAGCATGTGTTCAATCGCATCCAAGTCACAAAGTAGATTATGCCTCGCTGTATTACAATCTCATTTAGACAGTTGCTCATATTACCTTACTTTAAGTTATTTGGTTGTGGTTAAGTTTAGCCTTCAGCCATTAAATTTCAGTGTTGTCTTGCTAAACCAGTCATTTTGTTTTAGAAAGAGTAGGTTGTTGAAGTCACACCTTGGTTTTAGGAAAATCAGTTTAGAAATATTACGGTGTAGTAGGTGTACACATATATTTGAATCCTACTAGATACACGGTAAAACAAAATCTTCCAGTATATCAATATTTCCTGCTGCACATCTCCTAAAGCTAAAAGAACTCTTTGATTTTGAATAAGTAAGTAAGCAAATTGTCTTAGCTTTGATAAATGATGAAAACAAATAGTCCTTGTGGTGGTCTCTTGAACTCCGCTGTCACTGGCCAGCCCCATGACGGATTGTTTGGTTTTGGGTTGGAAGAAAAGTTGGATCTATCCACTGTGTCTGTCCTTGTTGCTGTTTTTATGTGTTTATTTGACCGACACATTCTTCACTTGTATTTTCTCAGAAGGCTCACACAGGCTGGTTAATGGACACTTACCCCTTTGGCTCATTAACCAGTCGATGAGCTGGCCGGCTCGTCACGTCACAGTCGTTCATTCTGCCCCCCCCAGCAGAATATCTCTGTCCCAAACGCTAGCCTGTTCGACTTTGATGCAATCAACCTAAACGTGCAAACGCAGGCTCTGGCGTTCCACCTTCTTGGATACACCTTCAGTAGTACCCTCATTTTCCGGCAAAGCAGCGTTATTTCATTAAGGGTGTGGGGGGGGGGAGAGTGTTCTCGTATCGCCTCCTGCACCTCTCTCTGCCTCGTAAACCTCAGGGCCTCAGACTTTCACTGAGAGAGAAAAAGCAAAGAGAATCTTAAGACACACCTGCTCCTCACCTCCGCCTCCTTTTCTTTATATCTCACTTGGTCTCATTAGAGGGCTAAGATTGCTCTGAAAGTTTCCGATCCCTCTTCAAGCATTTACACATCACTGAATGTTACTGTTAGTGCAGACTGGCGTCCGTTAAGTCATTCTGTTTTCGGTAGGGTAAAGAAAATCAAAATGCATCTCTTTCTCCCCAATGCAATGCTCGCATTACGTTGCGATAGATGTGAAAATCTTCTCTTTTTTTGTGCCCTGTGACTCCCAATTGATGCTTCAATGCAACTTAGTGAAAACTGGATGTTGTTACTGTGCTACACCACATCCAGAGTCTTGTTTATCGACAGGGACAAAGATCAACATGCAGCTTAGATACACATTTGCATTTGAATGAATACGACACTGATTGCCTGTTATCCCCGTGTGTGTATATTTACATTTACTATTCATATTGACTATGATGTCAGGGTTTTCCTTTGTTTCAGTAGTCCAGTTGATGAACCATTCAGTTTGTAGGCACTTTGTTCAAGTGCTGTTTCTGGAGGCGTGAATCATCTGAGGATTTGACTGATTTAAGAAAAAAGAAAAAAAAACACATTTTGAGTATTAAGCTTTTGAACACACTGAACAGCATCATTGTGCCGCATCGAGTAAACCATGCATTTTGAGCTATGTTTTAAGAACCTGTTGCTCATTGAACACAGTGGAGCACTGGGGTTGTGACTCCAATGGATGGATTTTATGCCAAGGAAAACAAGTCCAGCCCCACATTCATTCATTTTAAAGACTATGGACGAATGGATGCATGTAATGGATTTAATGCAGAGTGAGTAGACTCTTAGAGACATACCTTTTTGGATTTTAATGTGAAGCCAAAGGAGTGAAGTATTGTCTCCTGGCCTTGTGCTTTGGAGGTTTGCAAAGACTGGATTCTGTTGAGAACGGCGACAAACAAAATTCACTCCTAAAAGACTGAATGGATTTGATACCAAGCCACGAGAGGAGGTGGAAATATGATTGAGATTCTGGACTTCTTCTTGTTGTGATCACCATTTTTGCCCATCACCACGTAGAAAGAAGTAAGCTCAGTAGTAAACAATGGAAAGTACAAATCTCACGTGTGTCTGCTAAAGAGAGAGCTGAACATTTTGGGAAATGCATGCTTTCTGATGCTGAGGATTGATATGAGAACGTCTAAATTTTGGATTGTAATCAAAGGTTATTAATTATTACTTTTGTTTATTTAACAAAACGTCTTTAAGAAATGTAAAAATGAACTGTTATATCAATCTTCTAGTCTCAGTCTCAGCACAAAAAACAAATAATTGCATTTCCTAAAATGTCACGAATGCTTTAAAGCCAGGTTTTTGCCTTTCACCCAAAATTTAGAAATCTGAATTCACATTAGAGAAATAAATAGATCTAGTGTAGCCCTTTTGGTAGCAATTTGATGATGAATTTAATCAGCTTCAGTATTAGAACTCTCCACTTCTTAAATAAAACATATGCCTTCTTTTTATCCTGAGGGGAGGTGGAGAAATGCTAAGAAGGCCGCGGACTATTAATGCTAAAGATGAAGAAACAAAAAAAAAGAGAAAAGATTAAATAAAATGAGTCGCAATCCATAATTTTAACATGTTATTCCACACACAGTTGCATAGAAAACTGAATGAAATCATTTACTTTGTTTATTCTCTGTGTGTGAGTGTGAATCACAAGCGTGTATTTTCTAAAGTGTGGGTGGACACAGTGAGGTCATCCTGAGACATTCGCATGGTCCCACACTCTGCTGATTGAGCTGTCCACAATGGTACCACAGTCTGTCCACACCTAATGATGTTTATGCTGTCCTTGTCGGTTTCATCTTATTTCATTTTTTCCCATCATTTTGTTTGTGAGGATGCAAATGTCACTCAGTTTATATTGTTAAAAAAAAGAAGAAAAGAACATGACGTTGTTGGGTTGTTTGCAATATGGCTCAGATATCTGTTGCTGCTAAGCCCACATGTCATGAAAAATGGACAACACAGCAAGTTTGATTTTTGACTAAAATTAGGAGTGATATGCAAATGGATAGTAATGGTGGTTCAGTTTGAAAATCATAAGAAATAAAACAGTATGTCATCAAAGCCTATTGAAAGGATTTTCACCTTATTTGAGCCACTGATTCTTGATTACTCTCAAATTAAGTAAATGATACTAGTCAATTTTTGAGTGTTGAGCTCTACAGGATTTCTGCCTTGGTGCTTGACATCAATGTATAATAATCAGATTGGTAAAAATGGATTTTATTCTCATTAGTTACATGTAGTTCCAACATACATTTACAATAAGGTTTGTGGTGTACCCACAGTCACAAGGGTATAGTTTTTAGCAAGATGTGTTACTGTAGGATTTCTCTTTCCCTTCTTCGTTTACAATAATAGATATCTCAAGGGATTTTCATAGTAACGTAAAGATCCTCCACTTTTAGAGAGAGAAAACCCAAACACAATTCTCTATGAGCAGCACTTGGCAAAAGTGGGGAAGAAAAACTCCCCTTTCACAGGATGAGATCTCCAGCAGAACCAGGCGCAGGGAGGGGCAGACATCTGCTTTGACTGTTTGTGTATGAGGTGAAATGGGGGGGAAATAGTGAGAGACCAAAGTCAAAAACAAGGACTAAACAAACTGAGAAAGTGGATAAAAGTTAACTAAAAAGAGGGAGTAGGGGAGAGGTCCCCTTCTCATGATGGGAACTCTCCCATTAGTCTGAGGCTAAAGCAGCATTACTAAGGGATAGTTCGGATCATTTGACCCAGTCCTCTACAAACGTTATTGAAAAGGGAAGTTTTAAGCCTCATCTTAAAAGTACAGAGGGTGTCTCTACTCTGTGTCTCCTGAATCCAAACTGGGAGCTGGTTCCACAGGAGAGGAGCCTGAGAGTTGAAGACTTGGCCTCCTATTCTAGTTTTAGAAACTCTACGAATCACAAGTATGCCTGCAGTCGAGCCTGCTCATTCCAGACTTTGTACCCAAGGATATGGATTAAAAAATCTTCAAGGATTTTAAACTCGATATCTTTCTTATATCACCCGTTCAGTCCCTGGGTTTTCCCAATTTATATGTGTAAAGAAGTAAGTCTAGAGACAAAGCTGGTGAGGGCCATCACTATGGCTAAGGTGACAAAGATACTAAAACAACTGCTGGATGACTGTGCCACTGGGTGGCTGGAATTCACCCTGACTTCCTCAAGGTTCATGATGTTTTGCGGCTTTGTTGGTTAAATCTCTTCTGCAAAGTCTTTATGGAAGTCTGGAGCAGTGACTCTGGATTAGCAGACTGGGGCGGTGATACGGGCATTCCTGTAACTATTCTTGTAACTGTGTGTGCTACATTTACATGGGAATCACACTTTTCAGCTCACCTGGAAAGGTCTTGCCAGTGTCCTGAGGCGGTGGGTCCCTCTGTTAGAGTGTACTTGGAGAGGGCATATAACTGCGTCCTTTGGAGTGTCCGGGTGCTTAGGGAGAATGGTGCACCTGGCTCATTGTCATATTCAGTCCCTGTACAACCATCACAAAAGCATGGCTCATATTGCCAGTAGTAACACTCTTCCCAAGAGCGTCTGCACCTGGAGCTGTTGAAGGAATTGAATTATCTTGGCTCTCCTTCACGAGTGAGGAGTGGAGTGGAAGATAAATACGGTTTTGCGGTGTTGGTAGTGATGAGGGTCTTATACTGGAAAGTGAAGCTGTCAATTTACCAGTCTATCTATCTACAGCCATGAGCTCCTGCTAGTGACCAAAAGAATAAGATCACAGAAACAAGCAGTAGATGTGAGTTTCATCTGAAGTGTGTTTGGGCTCAGCCGTAGAGATCGAGTGAGGAGTCATTTGGAAGTAGAGCTGCTACTTTTCTTTATCAAAAACAGCTCACTGAGGTGATTCGGTGTTCTGACGAGGATGTCTACAGGGCACCTTGTAGTGAGGTGTTTTTGTCATAGAACACCAGGAAGATACCTCGGGGAAGATCCAGGACACGCTGGAAAGACTACATGCCTCGGGTGAGTTGGTGGTTTTGCCACTGAAGAGATCCAAGGCGTGGCTGCAGAGGGGGGTTCTGGATTACTGTGCGAGATGGTATTAGGAAGCACCATAGCATAAAAAGAAGCTAAAAAAGTAGCATACTTCACTGTTAATGTTTACTCGTGAGGGTAATTTCAAATCCATTAGTCGGCTTTTAATATTTGTTGGAAGAGCTTGTAATCTCTTGACAGACATAAAAAAATTATTACTGACTTACCTTTTTGTAAATATTATATTTTCTAGTATATTAAGGTAGATGTATCGGTGTTTCAGTGACCTCCACTTACATGATCACTGCCGTTGCCCGTTTGTGTCTTCATAATGACAGATGACAGGTAATTAAAACCATAAGCGCTCCCATTCTGCTTCTTGAGTTGAAGGCACACATTTTTTTCCTCAAAAACTCTCATTTTATCCTTTCAAGCAAAAGCATAGTCCTCTATCATGAAATCCAGAGCAGACTGTCTAACTGTACTTATATAAAAGAGCAGCAGTACCCAAGAAAAGGATGATGTTTATTCTCACCATTTGCTTCTGAGCAAATAAATGTATTTAGATCCAAAGATGTTGTTTTTTTTAACTGTTATATTTAATGTAGAACTTTTCCTCGTGACAATGATGATGTTAGTTATCTGTTGCAGCTCTGCTATTTTATGCTTTTGATATCAAATGTGCAGCTTTAGGAAAAAAAATGTTTGTCCCCACCATGTGGCAGCATCTGCTGTTTACAGTTTATTTTTATCATTAGTGTTTCACTTGACTGTTCTATTATTAGCCCAGTATCCCCTTGCATCTTTGTAATGCATGTTTAAAAAAGAGAAAAAACAAAACAATCCATTCAGAAATGATGTAAAGCTGAGTAAGTATCAAAGGTAGGAGAAAACCTTCGTGTTGGTCTAAATTTAATTCAAACTGGAGACAGACCGAAAAAAAAATTACCAAAATAAACAGCTGTAATGCACAAACCTGCAATACAGCTTATTTACAATCATAAACGCATCATTTATGCATTTAATCCTAGCATTCAACTGTTGATTTTATTTTCTCTCTGATTTTTTGTGACTTAAGGGAGTCTTTCTCTTACATAAGGTTCTGGAAAGTATTTAAAGAAAGACAAGGCAGGGAAAGTCAGACTCATTCAGTTAAAGGAATTAGGAGCAGTGCTTTCAAAACAAATGCTCTTCCAGAAAATGGTACGATCCCACATACCAGCAGGAAGTTACTTCCCATTTATGATCTTCTCCTCTGTGACACATCATTGTTTGTCCTGACATGCCTCTAGGTGTCTGTGTGCTGCTCTCAGTGTGTCCTGCAGGTCTTTGTACCGGGCCAGAGTGCAGGCTTCCTCTAGCTGGGCCCAGCGGTAATCCTGGTGCTCATCAGACAAAGTCACAGCAGTCCCTGGGTCCTTCAGCTCAGCCAACCAGTACAGCACCTCTTTGGGTTTGCCACGCACCTCATAGTGCAACTCCTGAACAAAGCCTTTTATCACTTTCAGGTGCTCTGCCCCAAGCCCCGCCTCCTCCTTGGTCTCTCTCAGTGCTGTGGTGAGGTCATCCTCACCTGGGTCCACATGACCTTATGGTGAATTTATTAGGGGGGAAAAAAGACTCATTAACGTGTTATTTTCTGTAATGAAGAAAAAAATCAATCTAGTGTTTCTTAAACACACCTTTCGGTGGCGTCCAGTGGTGTTCCCCATAAGATGTCTGCAGAAGGAGATACTCGATGTTGCCTGGAGGAGGGATGCGGCCGACTAGACGAAATATGATAAAGCCACAAGCTCGGAGTACCATCTTCCTGTTAAAGCAACTTATACACAAACACAATTCCTCTGTTATTGTGTGTTTGCTTTCCAGAAAACTAAGGACTTTATTGGATGATGACAACATTTTATAACCGCAGATATAGAACAAATTTAAAGTGTCAAACCACAAACTCATGCATCCTGCACTCAACTAAAATATAACATTTCTTTCAACAGTGCCTTAATAAAGTCCAGTGCTAGTTATTTTTTGTTGTTTATGCATCATGTTTTGCATTTGTTACATAAATGTGTATTTTACAGATAAGGTGCACATGCCCACAAATATTAACATAGACAAATGTATATATACTCACAGGCCACTTTGTTAAGTACACTTGCTCAACTGTATTAATCCAAATATTTAATCAGCCAATCACGTGGCCACAACTTTAAGGTCAAGACGACTTAGTGAAGTTCAAAGTACGTGTCAGAATAGGTGATTTAAGTGGCTTTTCATGGCTGTTGGTTCCAGTTGGGATGGTTTAAGTATTTCAGAAACTGCTGATCTACTGAGATTTTGCCACAAGGCCATCTCTACGGTTCACAGAGAATGGCCTGAAACACAGAAAATACGCTGTGAGTGGCAGTTCACTGCTTGACTATACTATGCTGATGCCAGAGTTCAGAGGAATGGCCAGACTGCTTTGAGCTGACAGGAGGGACTTAAATAACTGTTCATTACAACCAATGTATGCAGAGGAGCATTTCTTAATCCACAGCATGTCAAACCTTGAAGCAGGAACAAGAAACTGAAACAACAATTTACACGGTCTCACCAAACTTGAACAATAGAAGATGGTCGTAAAAATGTTGCCAGGTCTGATGAGTGTCGATTTCTACTGCAACATTTGAATGGTAGGGCCAGAATTTTATGTAAATAAGATGAAAGCATGGATCCAACCATACATCAGGCTGGTGGTGATGGTGTAATGGTGTGGTGAATTATTATCTTGCCACACTTTGGCCTCTTGGTACCAATTTTAACTTCACAGCCTGCATGTCATTCCTTTTAAGACCACTGTGTACCCATCTCTTGATGGCTGCTTCCAGGAGGATATTGTGCCATATCACAAACTTCAAATGATCTCAAACTGGTTTCTTGAGCACGACAAGTTTTAAGCCAGGCTATTCCCTGTATTTGAATGGCCAAAAAAGCTCCTTTGGGATATGCTGGAACAGGAGATTAACATTATATTGACATGCTGTCATGTCAATATGTACCATAACCCATAGAAGAATTAAGGCAGTCCTGAAAACCAAAGGGGGTTCAATCCAGTACTAGCAAATTGTGTATATCGCTTTTTGTTAGTTAGTTACTGCAAAGAGTAATGATGGGTACATTTATTATTGTACATGTGGTACTAAGTCCTGTGAAAATAGTTATAAACACTCTAAACCAGCTCAGTGCAGGTTTTGAAATGTAGCTTTGCGGGAAGACTAATTCTTTTATATATTTATTTTAAAATCAAGCGACAGTTAAAGACTAATTCTATACCAGATTCTATGGATTTATTTTGTAAAACACAGTCGCGACGATTAAATATTTACTGACGGAAAGAAATGTGTTAGTATTTACAGCACACGGTTAGCTAGCTTTCAAATCGGATGTGAAGCCTAATATGAGCTTCAACCGCCGCTTTTATGGTGGATGTTTCTGCTCCACCGGACGCACTGCTGATCTTCACCTCATGCTCACACACTGCACGAGGCCATTATAAGTCAATTATTTTCAAGAAATCAGCGCAAACTACTTACAGTGAATGATTTGACAAGGAAGAGAGAGCGGAGCGCCGAGAAAATACTCCGGGCACTCTGCAAAGAATGACACAGATAGTTCCGGTTTGTAGAACAAAAATTATCAAACCAATCAATAAATATAAAAAGTATTCTATTATTGGCTTATATAACGTATGTTAATATAGCATTACATCACTAAATTATTCCTGTTAGCATATATTCTGTTGTCTCTATAATATAATGTCACTATGCAAACCGGTTATTAAGTCTATAATAATGTATTGTGCATAATGCATACATGTAAAATATATCATTATATGTTTCTTTCACATGAAAAAAAAAATCTCTGACCAATAACGTCAGCTGTAGAATCAAAACACTAGTATAAAAGCCAGTTTTGATAAAAAAAAAATTATCTCCTAATTTTATAAAGCTACTTTCCACCACCGGTACTGCTCGTTTTACTTATGATAATTCATCTTGAATTATGTTAATTTTGGGGTGAATCCCAAAGCAGTTAAATGCATTGGACTAAAATAAAATAAAAAAATGTACTTATATGTGATTTAAATAACTAGTTGTTTTTTTTTAAAGAAAATGATAGAAATCTCTCCCAGTGAAGGCTTAAACCAACACGTACGCATTTCTTTACAATCTTTGTAGCTGATGTGCCTGAGAGAAACTGATAAGAAATGTATCCAGTGTAGGACCAACCAACAGACAGCTTGTGTCTGAAGATAAAAGACACGAGCCCCCACTTTTCCCACACAACCCTGGGCTGTCAGCTGTACACTTGTTCAGCTTGACAGAGGCGATACAGCGGCTGAATTTCAAGGTAAGGCGATGCAAAAGTAAAATGAGTTATTTTTGAAGCAAAACCACCAGAGAGAGGGGCGCAGAGGTACTGAAAGTCCTTAAAGGATCACTTGAAGACTTTTCTTCTTCCTGATATTTCATTATATTTCCTGCTTGCTCATTTCAGCTGGCTGTGCTTTGGCCACAGGCTTCAGGGCATGTGACTTTCGCTGCTACTACTACTGTGCTTACTCATCCTGTGTGTAGGGCTCATTATTCCACTCCACTATACATGAACATGAATCATCCTCACATTCAGATATTTTTGGTATATGCTGCCTACAAGGAGATCAGACGTGGAGATGATGTAGCACTCTGATCTTTGGATAACCCATTCTTGTGTTGAATGATGACAGCTGAATCTCTGTCAGTTTTTTTGTTTTTGTATTTCCCATTCAGTTTGTGCCAATTCATGTAGGTCATTTAGCGAAATCACTGTTCTTTTGTGTTTAGCACAGCAGCTTTATTTTCTATACTACGATGGATACCAAATAATCATGAGACAGATAATAGGGCTTAAAGCTCAGGGCCTTGGTGTGTTTGGAGCAGAGCTGATCAGTGGCAAGAAATGTTCTTACATGAGTGTTCTTGAGTTGTTCTGGACTTAATTTAAGCTGACAACTGTGAGGTGAGGTGCCAACACAATAATCCCAGTGACGAATCCAAAGCCCACACCTTTTTTACGTGTGTGGATTCAGTTAAGTTTTTACCCTAAAATACACCATAGTCACTTTGGGCCACATATGAGAATGATGGAGGGACAAATACACACAACCTTGAGAACTGATGATATGACCTTCTTGACCTCAAAGCAGCATTTGGCAGACACATGGAGGAGAACGAGCAGTCAGCAAGAGGCCTCCATTTCGTGGGCAAGAAGGATGAACTTATTGAAGCAAAGCGGTCTTTCAGATCAATAGAAGATCGGGATATACTGATTATCTACCACCAGGGAGTCTTCTATGCTATGGATTCTTACTGTTACCGTAAGTGCAATTTTTCTAGTGAAAAACTCATAGTGGTCACTGCAGAGAGAGGAAATACACTGGGACCTTTAACACTGGGCTTCATTATTTAATAAATTATTGAGCATTTTAGCACATGTCATCTGGAAAGTGTGTCCTTTTTAGCAAACTGTTAGTGTGTTTGTTTATTTTGTGATACACTGATACCCCGTCATTTCGGCAGATGCTGGAGGAATGCTGAACAACGGCGACATTGAGGTGAGTTTCAGGTTTAAATTACGAGGGTTAGATCAAGACAACATTCCAAAATATCAGAGCAAATATCTTCTACAATCACTCAAGCAGTAATTTAACTAAACACATGAATACTTAACACAGTTTTCATATCTGAATTTACTGCCATTCACTACAAAAGCCTTGAACAAATAGTGCCTCATCTCAACCATCTCAACTGATCTTCTCTAACTTTGGCTGTTTTTAAGAAATGTTATTAATCACTACTGCTTTTAAGTAATCTGGTATCTGTATTATTATAGTTATTATTTCTTC